AAACATTTGTTGGAGATGACCTCATTTTCTTACATTTCGCGCCCGTCACGAATGTCACGGGGAATAAATTCAGGGCCTTGACTTATAACCACAAAGGAGAGAAATAACTTTTTGGATTTATTAATAAATAAATATTAATTTATAAAGTAAATTTAAAGTTTAAGTTTTAGAATCAATTTGTTTAAAAGTTAATTTTTTTTAAATGTATAAATTGATATATGAAATGCACTCTCAAAATTGTCCTACAGAAAATTAATCTTCAAAGTTTGTAGATATTAATCTAAAAACACTATAACAGTAAATATCTAAAAAAATAAGAGTGGAGATCAGTTCCACAGCTACATGGTTCCATGGAGCAATAATTCTTAGGGGTAAGCATTGAGTATAGGTATATATCTATTATTTACAAATATTTTATACGTTTGGGTAAATACTATATCTAAATTGTAGAAAAAAAAAAGGGCAAATAAATGGGTATGAAAATAAAATACCTATAAGTATAAAATCAAGTAACAAATATAGGAGTTCATAATTGTTTACTCAATTTATTTAACTAACTCGTATAATTAATTTGTTATTTGTACTTGTACAATTAAAAATTACATGTATTTGTTATACTTAATATTTATATAATAATAATAATTTTTAAAAACAAAAATAATAAAATACAAAAAATAGAAATGAAAGTTAAGTTAAAGCCTATAAGCCAAACATATCATGCATGCAATAAGAACAACTCATATAAATAATAAACTTTTGATCAAACACATAACACAAGTAACAATAGTATCTCATATTAGATAATTCCTTTCTTTAAACCAATTATATAAATATCTATTCGAAAATATGTATTCGTAAGTTACCCAATACCTATTAGGTTAAATACCACCTATAGGTCTTTGAATTTTTGAGTGAGTATCAAATTTAAAAAACTATATCAAAAAATTTTTAAATCAAGTATCAAATATGATTCGTAATCTGACGATGTACTAAAAAATACTCACCCCAATAATTATATTTTATCCAAAACATTCTGGTAAATAGCAGTCCAAATGATCCCGCACTTGGTGGTTTATTGGCCACCCCCTTGCGGAACGTGCGTAAGACTAGCGAAACTTGGAATCAAATCCCAAGTCCCCCTTCCTCTTTTCCTGAAAAAAGTTTCACACTGTTCAAAAAAAAAATAGCGGTCCAGATGGCCCATATCAAGGCCTAGCATTTAGTCCACTGACTACAATACAGAAGCCCAAACTCTTTTGTCGGTCCAACTCCAAGTATGAAGAAGTCTGTTAAGGAAAAGTAGTGGCCACATGACGATACCTGGGTGTGGCAAATCATTTGGGTTGGGTAAATTCGGGTCACAGGCTCACAGCTCATTCATGTCGGGTCAAATAAATTGCGGCCCAACTCTCACAGTAAAACCTACACCAAACAAGACATTATTTTATGAAAAGCATAGATCATACCTAACTGAAGTGTGA